TTTATATTTTTAAATACGGGCATGTGCGAGAGGATGTACACTAGTTAAAACTCACGGTTCACTGATTCTGAATGGCATGGGGGGCATGAGAAAAAAAATAAAGTCAGCCATTAATTTCGCTTCTACCGAACATTCACATGAAATTTGAAAACATTTTGAGATTTGAATTAAAAAAAAAAAAATACGGGTCCCTGGTTTTTTTTTTTTAAATCTTTTTTTTTAAAGCGGAGTTCTGTAAACAACAGTGACCTACATGCAAATGACGCCAAAAATTTCGGAGACTGATTCAGGTGAATGGATTGCACTTTATGATTTTTTAATGAAAATTGTAGGCTATTGAAGCATTAGTTGGCACGGCTGAACAAAGGGTATTTTGTGAATTTGAAGTGTGGGCTGGTGGTAGGGTATGGGGTTGCATGACAAATGATTGCGTATGATGGAATGCGTGGGAAATTTTAAGATTGCAGAAAATGTCTAATCGCATCTGCCCTACCCCCCCCCTCGTCTCAATATACGCCACCTCAGCAACATCACACACAAACGCACACACACACACACTCGCGCTCATACAGCCTTATTTTTTTTAAGCAGGTGACAACGCTTTGAAAGGAGAGTCGTGTGCGTTTATTTTAAAAATTTATAGTTTAATGGGAACTTCGGCAAGACTTTCTGACTTATCGGAAAGACTTTTTATTTTGTTTTATTGAGGTATCGGAAAGAATTCTGATTTGTTATATTGGGGATAGCAAGACTTCTGATTTTGTTTTATTGAGGATATCGGCAAGACTTTTGATTTTGTTTTATCGGGGTATCGGAAAGAATTCTGATTTTGTTATATTGGGGATAGCAAGACTTCTGATTTTGTTTTATTGGGGGATATCGGAAAGACTAATGATTGTTATATTTGGGATAGCAAGACTTCTGAGTTGTTATGTTGGGGATATCAGCCAGGCTTTTGACTTGTTTTATTGGGGAAATCGGCAAGACTTCTGCCTTTATTAAAATAAATGGGGATATCGGCAAGGCATCTGACTTGTTTTATTGAGGATTTCAGAACAAGTTCTTATAGTTTCGTAGTATTTCGTAATTCTAAAAAAAAAAAAAATGAAAGTAAAAAAAAAAGTTGATTGTAATTGTTTAAACGGAGTCACTGTTTAACTGTGTATGTGTGTGTGTGGGTGTAGGGGGGGGGGGAGGGTAGCAGGAAAGAAGGGTCTGGTGTTGTTGGACGATATGACGTTATGTGGTGGGTGCTTAAGATTGTGTTCTGTCATCCAGTGTTTCTTTCAGACTTTTTTCTACGGGGGGGGGGGGGGCACTTGATACTTTCGTGGGCGGGGTGGTGTACGTTTTCCGGGAGGAGGGGGGCGGACTCTATTAAAAGTATATGTTTACTATATAAATTCCATCTCGTTCGGGGGGGGGGGGGGGGGTAGACATTCTTCGGGGGGGGGGGGGGCACCGCTTCCTCGAAGATATGCCTGGAAGAAACTGCTGTCATCTAAGGACTACACGCAAGTAAACAATGTCTGAGCATGTAGCGATGACAGCTGATGCTAATATTAAAGGGTAGTCGAGTAGCTAAATCATAAGGAAACAACTAACAAAAAAAAAAAAAAAACGTTAGAAACGTGAAATTTACCCCTATTTATGAGGGAAAATTTGAAGCCCCAAAATGTGTATCGAACTTAGGCGCACTAGGGATTGGTGATGAGAGATTAAGGGGGAGAGGCTGAATTTTGGAATACTTATATTGAAAAAAATGTAGGCTTATCAAAATGTAACACATTTTTTGCTTTAAAAAATGGTATGATACACAATATACATTTATACTTTCTTATTATTTCTTAATATAAACTAGTATAGCTATGGGCAGATCTACACTTTTGGTTCCAAATCTTAACCAACCAAACTTAAAGCCCACATCCTCAACAACCAAACTTAAAGCCCACATCCTCAACAACCTAACTTAAAGCCCACATCCTCAACAACCAAACTTAAAGCCCACATCCTCAACAACCAAACTTAAAGCCCACATCCTCAACAACCTAACTTAAAGCCCACATCCTCAACAACCAAACTTAAAGCCCACATCCTCAACAACCAAACTTAAAGCCCACATCCTCAACAACCAAACTTAAAGCCCACATCCTCAACAGCCAAACTTAAAGCCCACATCCTCAACAACCAAACTTAAAGCCCACATCCTCAACAACCAAACTTTAAACCCACATCCTCAACAACCAAACTTAAAGCCCACATCCTCAACAACCAAACTTAAAGCCCACATCCTCAACAACCAAACTTAAAGCCCACACCCTCAACAGCCAAACTTAAAGCCCACATCCTCAACAACCAAACTTAAAGCCCACATCCTCAACAACCAAACTTAAAGCCCACATCCTCAACAACCAAACTTAAAGCCCACACCCTCAACAGCCAAACTTAAAGCCCACATCCTCAACAACCAAACTTAAAGCCCACATCCTCAACAACCAAACTTAAAGCCCGCATCCTCAACAACCAAACTTAAAGCCCGCATCCTCAACAACCAAACTTAAAGCCCACATCCTCAACAACCAAACTTAAAGCCCACATCCTCAACAACCAAACTTAAAGCCCACATCCTCAACAACCAAACATAAAGCCCACATCCTCAACCTAACTTAAAGCCCACATCCTCAACAACCAAACTTAAAGCCCACACCCTCAACAACCAAACTTAAAGCCCACATCCTCAACAACCAAACTTTAAACCCACATCCTCAACAACCAAACTTAAAGCCCACATCCTCAACAACCAAACTTAAAGCCCACATCCTCAACAACCAAACTTTAAACCCACATCCTCAACAACCAAACTTAAAGCCCACACCCTCAACAACCAAACTTAAAGCCCACATTCTCAACAACCAAGCTTAAAGCCCACATCCTCAACAACCAAACTTTAAACCCCAACTTGTCTTAGATTGAACAAGCCTGTTCACAATAGTGTCGACCCTTGATATAGATTACAGAAATAATATAACTGTTTCTTAGCCAGAATTAAGCACTCTAAAGAGTGTAAATCCAACCCTTAACAAGGATTAGCAATTTTACGATTTTACGGTTCTCAGCGCGTGTAGACAATAAATGATGACTATTGATGACACGTGTCGTTTTGACCACGTGTCCAGCTTAATGTCTACCCTCATTTCCCCACCCCTACGCTGTTCTTTCATTGTAATTGTAATCTTTTCTCTCAGGAATTAATGACCGATCCAATGAACGACGCGGACACTGAACTCTATGAGCTCTGGGCGTCTTGACCACACCGTTGTGACGCGAACAAGTGGGGGTGACTCACGGTGATTGGCCATAGAATAACAATAGCTGGGTTCAGCTATAGAATGGTAAATGTGGTTGTCTCTTGTTGAATATATCTAGTCTAGTTACACACAACAACAGATCTCTCCTGTGTGGCACATCCACCCCGGAAGAAACAGAGTTTCTTCCAGGCATCTCTTCGCCGCCCCCCCCCCCCCCCCGCCGAAAAAATTCTACCGCCCCCCCCCCGAACAAAATTAAATTTATATAATTTATATAGAAAATATATACTTTAAACAGTGTCCGCCCCCCCCCCCCCACCGAAGAAAGTCTACCGCCCTCCCCCCCCCCGAAAATTTCAAGTGCCCCCCCCCCCTCCCCGGAGAAAAAAGTCTGGAAGAAACACTGGGAAGAAATAGAAAGAAATATATTAAACGAGCCGACCCGCGGCGTATCACACGCCGCTATTTAGTTTTATTTTCTACTTTTCAGTAATTCATTTTTTGTGAATTCGACAGTACCAATGCTGTCACTGAAAATATTTGCTTTAAAACACTAAAACCCTCTTCCCCCCCCCCTCCCCCGTGAAAGCAGCCTCCTCTTAGTTACCCTAAGTTTAAAATAGTTTCAAACTAAATTATCTGCCCCTAATAGACGTCACTAAACCCGGCTCTACGATTGTAAACGAAAAAGAAAAAACAAGTTAATTAAAAAGTCTAGTGACATTAATGCGCAATTTCCTTATGTTATCTAAAAATAGCTCTGACGTATAATGCTGGGATGCGTTCAAGCTAGAAGAACGATCGGTTTGTAGGTGTTTATGTAATTTTAAAATTTGTGACTAAACGAGAGGATATTTTTGAAAACTTTCTTCGGCAATATTGTTCTAAATTATGGCAGGAATCGATTGGTACATGTTTCAAGTCGCTAAGTGGTCTGGTTGCCGAGATATGGGCCAAAAACTGCATTTGTTCGAGGTTTTTTGGCTTTTCCGGGAAATACATGAAAGAAACCCGGAATTTTTATGGCCTATGCTCATTCTCGTAACTTGCTTAACATAATTGCTTTTGGAACTAGTCATCGATATTGCTTCGTTGAGGAGGAGATACGACTTAAAGCCCGGACACACATTCATCCATACATTCATTCATCCATCCATCCATCCATTCCCAGAAATGACGCGTTAATAAACGCAATTCTCCAGAATGGAAATTGCGCTAAAAACTTGTTAAATATAAAAAGTAAATTTTGTGACATTTTATGATAAGGGTGGGTGGGGGGGGGGGGGGGGGTTGTTAATTCAGATAGTGTGACGTCACACATTTGCATTTTTAAAAAGTGATTTTAAAACTGAATTTTAGCCGCTATTTTGCATTTGAAAAACTGTTTAGTAAATTGTCATAGAAATTGATTAGGCCTAGAATACATTGTGATTGTGTTGACCGAGCTTTGGCAATATTTTAGAAATAAATCAATGTTTAAAAAAAAAAATCATGAGTTGCAGTCTGATGTGTGAAGTTATTTTAAGAATGAATATAATTTTTAAAAAGTGTAGTAAATAACGATTTATTAACTTTACTACTGCAAAAGAACTTAAAATTTATATAGATCTAAGGATTTTAATTCTAGTCCTCATATGAAAAATATAAAATGCGAAACCTTTGTTAGAAAAATAATATTTAGAATAGCTTCCCCTGAACACTTCCTGTTAGATTCACGTTGGAAGTAAACATAAAAACAAAATATTGCAAATTAAAATAAAAACTTTTAACAAAGAAACATGGTTCGAAAACTTAAGTTCCACGAAAAAAAATTGCTTAAAAAAGTAGATTTCCTAGCATGGGAAGTAGAAAATAATTTACACGAAATTAAAGTAATGAGGAAATTTTTCATTCAGAGGAGAGAAGATTACACGCTGTGAGTTGAAGTTTAAACAAAAATTTGCAAAGATAACTAAAAATTAGACCCTAGCCTTAGGCCCCTAAGCCCTAAAGAAAGTTGAAAATTATTAAATAAATAGGCCTATATCTAGATCTATTCATTATTAATTATAGATTCTAAATCTAGGCTTAAATCATGATTCACAGAGTTAGAAAAAAAACTAGAAATCTAGTTCTACACTAGAGTTTCTTCCAGGCATCTCTTCGCCCCCCGAACGAAATGAAATTTATATATTATATTAAAATTTGAAATAAAAATATTTATTATGGTAATTTGATTTATGCACGTGTTCATTACTTCATAAAATGGTATGAATAACATGTAGAGTAGAATTTAATAAATAAAATAAAATAGGCCCTAACTAGATCTAGTTTTATTATCAACCAGGTGCTTTTTGTTATTTTCCGGTGAGTAAATAACCTAAGCTGACGCAATTACCATGGCGGGAATTAAAAGCTCGTGTACCCAAGTCCACGACGTCATGTTATGCCGGTCGAGGGGCAAAAACGATGTTATGACTTTCATTTTCCATTCTCGGTTAATTTTCAAATTCTCTCTTTTCTCGTCAACCGAGTAAGCTAGATACTTAAATGTGGTGTCAAATGTTCTCTTAAGGGGTAAGGAACTTAATGGTGTATTTGAAATAACAGAATATTTTATTTTAAAAAATCCATAATTCAACCTATTAGGCCTATAAAATTTATATAGAAAATATATACTTTTATTTAACAGTGTCCCCCCCCCCCCGAAGATAGTCTACCACCACCCCCAAAAATTTCAAGTGCCCCCCCCCCCCCCGGAGAAAAAAGTCTGGAAGAAACACTGTTCTAGACCCACAAAAAAATAAAAATAGAACATTCTGTGAGTTGGTAATATAGAATCTAGTTCTAGATTATTCTAAAATCATAATCTCACTGTGAAACTCAAATTTTGATTTTCTCACTAAATCTAAAATTTAGCCTACTCAATTTTCAATCTAAGCATGATCACTGAATAGGCCTAATAGACTTATTTTATTCATTAGGCACTTTTTTTGGGTGTTGGGAAATTGGGAGACGCGGAATGGCGAGGCGGTTAACTGGGAAAAGGGCACAAAAACCATCGGCCACGTGACATTTTCGCCTCGCATTTTACCACCACCCGATACTTACGCAGGGTGGTGGTAGGTTTGAAAATTTTACCGCGACCAATTTAAAATGATATTTGATGCAGACTTCAAAGACGTTTTGTTTACATTGTTCCTCACTAGTGATCACCCAAAAAGGCGGGTCACATGTTTTTAAAAAATAAATAAAAATTGGTTGTGATATGAGCTTCGGTCTTATAAAAAAACAGCTCACAATATTTGATTTCTTTTTTCTTAGACTGATAAAACTAATTAAGCTTTACTTGCTGGCTCATTTTTGTATCTACACCGTTGATATTTTAAAATTTCTATTAATTTTAATGAAACCAACTTTTGAATTTAGCTCCATTCTCCAAACCAAATTTTAAAATGCTTTTCTGGCATGTATAGCCCTGCCACTTATGGTTTGTTTTTATAATATGAAAACACTGCCATTTTGGTCGTGGTAAACATTTTAAACAGTAATTCTAAGAAGGTCACTGGAGCTAAGATGAAAAATCGTCAGAAGTCATGCAATGCATCCAGTGTGGACGCTATATTGTTGTTAGCAACTGGCCATGCCTCCAGACTAGCGAGCAATGCTGCAAATTTAGCATTGCCCATATTAAATTAAATTTAAATTCATCGTGTGTTACCTCTAGCCGAGCGTATGCATATTTTTATAAAACACAAAAGACACACAAAAACCTTATTTTAGTACTTATTGAAGTTTCTTGTCTACTGTATTTTTTAAACAAATTTATTTTTAATTAGGATAGGCCTAGTGAACAATACAATGAATAGAAATAGGCTCCTATTTGAAACAGTAGTAGGCTATATATTACTCATACCCTTGAAAATTGTACCACAAGCATAATTTCCAAATGCTAGCCTAAATTTTAATTTTTCTCAATTTTGTCAAATTTATAAAAAATTAAAACAATTCATTATAACTAGGCCTAAAAAAGTAGTGTTGTCCTAACATTTTTGTTTTACCATCAAGAACTAGATCTTAGTACTCTAGTTAAGCCTACTGTTGTAGTAGACACATTGGAAACATATCTTAAATATATAAATGATAAAATTAACTATTAGTTACCGAATGTTACAGAATGAAGTGTCTGTTGTCAGCCACAGTTCACAACAGGGCTATTCCCAGTCCAAATTGTTATCAATACATCTGATATTATTATAATATTAAGCCTATATAAAAGTATGGTATATGATTGAGTGGAGCAATGTGCCACTGTCATAGAATGTCACTGGTTCAAATCCATTGGATGTTTGCTTCGAATAAGTAGTTACTTTTACATAACTTTGATTGTCATTATTCATGAAAGGGGGACTTTCCTTTTTCAGAACAATTAAAATTGGATTATTTTAATTTTGTCTTGCTTGTGACGTGATTGCAAGCAAGAAAAGAATTTGATTTTGCGTATTGCCAGCAATGCAAAGAGAGAAAAAAACTTGTGAAAATTTTGACTTGAAAATAACTGATTAAAACGGACATGCTATTTCACCTGACATTTATTCATCTTAATTTTAAAATGGTAATTACCTACACAAATTATTCATGATCATTGATTAATAAATTACGTTAATAATTAATTTATTATAGAAATAAAACAAAAAAAAATAGAAATACTCTCTAAATTAACCTCAAACCTTGTTATTGCAAGATACTAGGCCTAATCCCAGTCAAAATTAGCATGAAATGATAGCCGAATTTAAAAATCTTTGGCTAAAATTAAAAATACACATGGATTAATGTAGATCTAGACTATAATTTCTATATATACATCATCTGAATGCAGTTTGTTCAGTACAAAATATATTATTATTATAAATTTATATTTAAATTTATTATTATATGATTTAAGAATAAAGATCATAATAATCTTGTGAGCTAGCCAAAAATTAAATTTTACAATTGTTTTTCTTTTATGTGGAATAACATAACTACAAAATAAATTTGAAATTGTCCTTCTGTATATTCATATTTAGCCATATTTAATGTGCAGAAATCCCCAGGTTGTAATGGTCAATCGATGTTCCATTAAATCAATTTAGTAGTTAAAATTTTATTAAACATATAAAGTATCATAAAGTTGTTTATTTCTTAATTCAAGCAAACACTTTGATAATAAATAATAAATGCCAAGCATTGTTGCCGAGCTCATTCTATTGCAATGTTTCTTAACTTGGGTTCGATCAAACCCCGGGGATCCAGTGAGTCATTCTCAGGTGGTCCGGCGGAGGTCAATACACACACATGACTCATATCTATATTAATAATTCTCTACGCCGACACCACCGCGCACGTGAGCCAATTCTCTGACCCTCCTCCCACCCCCTCCCTTGCTCACCAGGCATGCGCAACAGACCATATTGCTATCACCCCCACCAGTCTGGTTAGCTGTGGTTTACGCCGAATGTTTACAATTGTAGAGCCGGGTCAAATTAGTGATGGCTATTAGGGGCAGATAATTTAGTTTTTAAAAGATTTGAAACTTAGGGGAGGTAACAAGTTCTGCTCGATCTTATCATTGTCTGTAAACTATCGTCATGGACGACTGCTTTCAGGCGGGGGGGGGGGGGGGGGATAATTGTTCCTCACTAAATAGTTGCGTATGCTACGCAGCGGTTCGGCTTGTAAATAATAATTCACAATTGGATTTTGTATGTACTGACAATAATCATAGAACTATTAAGAAGGTTTTGGTGAATGCACAAATAAAACTGATGAGGTTTGGTATTTCCCAAAAGGCTTAGAACCATTCTGCTAGTGCTAAAGTGTATGGTGCCATAGGTCTCATTTCAGCATGATACATTGGGGAAGGAACATGAACTGTTGGATACTCCTAGTTTTGTGAGAAATGCTTAATTTGTTATCCTGTGCTGGTCTGCTTGGCTAATGGGCATTACTCAAGTCAGCAATGATTATGAATGAGAATGAGATAATTTGCCAAAATAGTGTACAAATATTTCCGTTATTAAATGTTGCTTTATTTTATTCATAGGTAAAAAATAATTATGTAAACACTAAAAATTTTCATTTCTAATTATATATCTTTTAAAAATACATTTTACGCTGCTAGCACAAACTCTTTTTCTAGACACCTAAGTTTTTTATTTTAGTAGACCTTGTTATTCTTTAAAAAATATTTGTTTGTTATTACAAGGTACAACAAATTATCCCGTCACATTAGAGAGGTGGCCAGACAGATTAAAGAAATGGACCAGAATCATCCCAGGAGGATTGAGTTCACTCACCAGCTGTTAGAGAAATTGTGAGTCTTTTTATTTCTTTATCATAGTAATTCCTATGGGAGTTAGTCTCATGAGATGGGATGCACACAATAGCAGATGAATTAATGAATTAAATAGAGTTGCTTAAATTGGTGTGGCATAGCCTTGGTACAGTTCTGCTGTGGCCACATCTTGCCTTGGTACAGCCCAACTATGGCCAGATCTAGCCTTGGTACAGCCCTACATGGGCCACATCTAGCCTTCGTACAGCCCTACATGGGCCACATCTTGCATTGGTATAGCCCTACATGGGCCACATCTTGCCTTCGTACAGCCCAACTATGGCCACATCTTGCCTTGGTACAGTCATACATGGGCCAGAACTTGCCTTGTTATAGTCCTACATGGGCCACATCTTGCCTTGGTACAGTTCTACATGGGCCACATCTTGCTTTGGTACAGTCCTACATGGGCCACATCTTGTCTTGGTACAGCCCTACATGGGCCACATCTTGTCTTGGTACAGCCCTACATGGGCCACATCTTGCCTTGGTACAGTCCTACATGGGCCAGAACTAGCCTTGGTACAGTCCTACATGGGCCACATCTTGCCTTGGTACAGTCCTACATGGGTCACATCTTGCCTTGGTACATGGGCCACATCTTGCCTTGGTACAGTCCTACATGGGCCACATCTTGCCTTGGTACAGTCCTACATGGGCCACATCTTGCCTTGGTACAGTCCTACATGGGCCACATCTTGCCTTGGTACAGTCCAACATGGGCCACATCTTGCCTTGGTACAGTCCTACTGTGACCACATCTTGCCTTGGTACAGTCCTACATGGGTCACATCTTGCCTTGGTACAGCCCTACATGGGCCACATCTTGCCTTGGTACAGTCCTACATGAGCCATATCTTGCCTTGGTAAAGTCCTACATGGGCCACATCTTGCCTTGGTACAGTCCTACATGGGCCACATCTTGCCTTGGGGCCACCCCGCAGAAGTATAGCCCCAAACCTACAGAAGCAATCCCAAGGGCCCCCCCTAGAGGAGTAATTGAGACTCCCACACCTGCAATAATAAAAGCCCTCACCCAACCTAGTGGACAACCTAGTTTAACGACAGCCCCTCCCCCCCTACCCTATTACTCCAGCCTTAACTTTTTTATCAACCTCTTTGATGACGTGTCTTGATACCTTAATATTTGCCTGCTAATTAACTGGCAATTAACTTATCTAATGACAGAAATGTGTTAATTGCCCTGTGTTGTAACACACAATGGTTTGACGGGGAACCGAGTTTTTGTGTAGGACGTTAAGAGCCCACGTTAAAGCCCGGCTTTTTTTTGTTCTGCTCTAGGCCGGCTCACACAGGTGTAAATGCATACGAGTTGCATGCACGCTCGCGTGAGTCGGTGCTGGGTGACGTGATTGGGTTGAGTCATTAGAATAAGAGTCGCGGGCGGCAAGTCACATTAAGCTGTTGTAGACGATAAAAAATGTGTCTTAAGTAGTTTATTTCGAGATTATTTTTATTTGAAAATGTTGTCCGTATTTTTTCGCTACCCAGTATTAGGGATATCGTCTTTCACGCACAGAAGAAAAAACAACAGCCTTTTGTTAGGGCATTATTTTTTTTTTTTACCAGCACTTTGTCTAAGACTAATTGTTCGAAAATTATTAGTTGTCACTTGATGCCTGTTGTTTGAGGACTTGGTGTACTGACGTTTATGGCTTGGTGGCATGGTGTTTCAGGGAATAGCTGATCAGGGTGTTGAGGTACATGGTGTTTCAGGGAATAGCTGAGCTTGAGAGTTGGGATACGTGGTGTTTCAGGGAATAGCTGATCAGGGTGTTGAGGTACATGGTGTTTCAGGGAATAGCTGAGCTTGAGAGTTGGGATACGTGGTGTTTCAGGGAATAGCTGATCAGGGTGTTGAGGTACATGGTGTTTCAGGGACTAGCTGACCTTGGGTGTTGGGCTAAGTACGTTTTAATAGATGTCTAAATCGAGAAACCACTAAAGCGACATAAAAATACATACTTCCTTATATTGTGGTGTGTGGAAGGGGTCCCAATTTGATATTTTTTATACGAGTTTAGATCCCCTTGGAATGCCGAGTTAGGTATATCCATCTAAAACTCTACCGCTCTCAACAGCTTTACGGGAAGGTCATTAACCTCCACTAACTTGTTTGCTTGCATTGTTGGATTGAAGAGTTGTGTGTGGGATTTGGGGGGTAGATGAACGAATCTGCCTTTGTCGTTACATAGCTCTAAACTTCATCTATCGCATTACATAATATAGCTGGTCTGATATGTTGGACTCGCACTGTTCGAAAACTGTAGAGGTGGTGGTGAGGGGGGTTGGGGTGGGGTGGACAGGTTTCCCTTTTGCTAACTTCATGACTGAAGAAACTGCCTGGCCAGATCCGTCCAAAAACTACATCCCCTACCATATAAGGAAACGTCCTTGACCTGCAATGATCTATTCCCATGATTCCATGTTAGACTGCCGCACGCGCCTCGACACACCCTAACCATGTTTTTACCCCCCCCCCCCCCCTCCCGAAAGACGGACGGTGTCGGCTAATCGATCTCTAGACGCAGGTAAAATGGTTTATGGCTAACCCTAACTCTTAGCTCCTGGTCGGCCGACTCTACATTGTCCTTGCTCATTTCAAATATTCGCTTTAACTGATCAACGCTCTGGCGATGGGCGGGAAATGTGACGAATGCCAAAAAATAACCCAACCCTCTTAAATTAGTATTATGTGTTGGAAATGGGTGATTTTCTTTGAGTTAGACCGAATATAGTAGCTGTGACTCCGATATACAGCACTGGTTTGTGTGTAAATAAGACTGGACGGTGTGGTCTTTATTTTTTTTACCTTTCTCTTTGTTCCTTATCACGGTTAAACCAAATATATTAGTCTTAAATAGGGTTGGGTGCCTTACATAAATACAGTGTACTAAAACATCATAAGTACAATGGGGTGTATAAATTCTCGTGTACAATTTTATAAGCGGGTTGGATGCTTCTCTGTGACGTAACATGAGTTGATGTTCTACTACCAAAGTAATGTACTCTTTTTTTTTTTTTACTTCTCTACGCCAATGTACCTCATACCACTGTTTATACCACGAGGTCAATGACCATGTTGTAATAATTCCACGCGTGGTATTAAAACCTGTTACAGTAGTAAAGTTCTCTTTCGAACTGATTTGGACCCGAACTCGACGCTTTCGTGTTAGCAGCCTAACGCTCTTCCTGGCACAATATCAGTAGTATATTAGGTCCCTTTTGGGTATCATTTTTGGCGGAGGTGGGGAGGGTGAGGAACAATGACATATAGTAAAATACTCGGGAGCAGGATGCGCGGGATGCGCAATGACATATAGCAAAATACTCCCAGCCTGGCGCATCGGGAGGGTAAGGGTGGGTGAGCAGGATGCGCAGGATGCGCAAAGACATATAGTAAAATACTACGCCAACTGGGGTTGGCGGAGGTGGTGGGGAAGTAGGTCACCTTTTGGTGACCTTGTGACGTAATCATTAACCTTGTGAGGTAATTAGTGACTTTGTGACGTCATCATTGACCTAGTTACGTAATTTTAATGCGTTTTTTAATGAGTTTTAATGAGTTTTTAAAATTTAATTAGTTTTTATTAACGAGTTACGTAATTTAATTACTTTGATTGTATTTTTAATTAATTTTTATTGACCTAGTTACGTAATTGGATTTTAATGAGTTTGAATTTAATTACTTTGTTTATAGTGTGTAATTTTTATTAACGAGTTACGTAATTGGATTTTAATTTTTTAAATTTTTTCAAATTTTTAAATTTTTTTTTTTTAAAATTATTAATTTAATTTGCTTATTTGTTTATTTTTAATAAGTTTAATTAATTTGATTTTTTAATTAGTTTAAATTTTTTTTTTTAAATTTTATTTTATTTTATAATTAGTTAAATTATTATTAACTAGATACGTAATTTGATTTTAATTACTTTGTTTAATTTATTTATTTGATATATTTCTTTTCTTTGTTGTTTAATTTGTTGGTTTGTTTATTTGATTGTATGTCTGTTTTTAAATTCTCCCCTACATCGAGCGTGTACTAGAACAGTCTTTGTATACCAGCCTTTAACCAGACATGTAACACCTGTTACGTATCGACCCGCCCCCGAAGTTTTCTCACCGCTCCCCGGTTTTAAATGGGAATGTATTGATCGCACCCACGGGCCATCACAGCATGATGTCCCACCTAATTAAATTTTTGTTATGCTTCACCGAGTTTCCCCCGAGCGGTTTGATAGGTCATGATGATTTATGTGGGTTCGCGAAGCGAACACTGCAGGGGTTATGGTAATTATCGCAAAGCCAGCGTTAAGTGTGGGAACACCTGTTACCACGTTAATCGATTTTTTCCCCCGGTTGGGTCCCGTGCTTTTCACTAACAGTTATACGGACAGTATCATAGGTTTTTTGTTTTCACCTAGGCAATGTTTTGTTGTTGGTTGGTGTAGAGTTTATACCAGGGTCGGTGAAGTTTTCACCGAGGTTGGTTTTGAACTCGGACCATGCATGTTTAGGAATTGCTAAATTTTAATTAATTTTTGACCTAGTTACGTAATTTTAATGCGTTTTTAAGGAGTTTTTAAATTTTTAATTAATTTTTATTATCGAGTTACGTAATTTAATTACTTTGATTGTATTTTTATTTTGTTTAATTTGTTTGTTTACTTGTTGTTTAATTTAATTACTTTGTTTATATTGTGTAATTTTTTATTAACGAGTTACGTAATTTGATTATTTGTTTACTTTTTAATTATTTTTATTTTGTTTATTTTTAATTTTATTTTATTTTATAATTAGTTAAATTATTATTAACTAGTTACGTAATTTGATTTTAATTTTTTTTTTTAAATTTTTAAAAAAATTTTTTAAATTATTATTTTTAAATTTTATTTTTAATTGTTGTTTACTTGTTGTTTAATTTAATTACTTTGTATAATTTATTTGTTTGAAATTCA